TTGTCTTTTTCTCATGTGAACTGTATGGTAGTGGAGGGCTGCTGCTCTGGGCTGCTTTTGCAGGATTGTATACTTTGCTTCCATGAAGTAAACAATAAAATACTTCAAACTAGAGTATTTTAGTGTTAAATAAAAAAAACTTGGTTCAAATGCTTTCATCAACAGAACAATGATGCCAGACAGAGCAGATCTATAACAAAAAAAATCGATGTTTTTAGAAGCTGAGTTTTTTTAACCTATAGCTTCTCTGTATTCCTTATTGGATTTAGAAACATATAATGTAAATTCCTTGAATTAAAAAGCTTCCTCTCTTTTTACCAAGGCTGTAAAATCTGTTTTTGTTGTTTTTTATTTTCCAGGTTGTATTTTTTGGCCCATGCAGACAGACCCTGACCATCCATTAACATCAGGCACAAAGTGCAGGTTTACAGACGTTTGCATCGTACCGCAGTCCTCCGGCTAACAGTATTGCTTCAGTACAAAGCAGTACTGGGCAGTATGAGCTGCCTCTCTGGTTTCCTAGAAAAAATAAACAACCCGACATTTATCACAGATAAAACAGCTCACAAGTTCCAACTACAAAGCCTTTTTTTTTTTCTTAAAATAAGTGCATTTCTTTTTTAAATCGAGGGGTAAGTGAGACATTTTGCCAATGAAACAAGACTATTTACATTTAAAATAAGAAAAAAGAACTGCATTGTCTTATTTTTAAGTGCATTTTATCTAATTAAGTTATTCTGAGAGTATAAATACTCATTCCATTGGCATTTCCTGCTCAAATTAAGAGTAAATTTACTTAATTTAGGACATTTTCACTTATTTCTAAACCATTTTTCCAGTTTTCTCTTTGTTACAGATGTTTTTAAAGAAACAATGCATTTAAAACATGTCTAAGATATGTTCTGTAAATAAACTTAAACTGTATTTGTTGTGCTATATCAGGAAAAAAAAGGGTTTGGGAGTATGTAAAGTGAGAAACGGCTTAAAGTTGAAGCTACTTGTGGGAACAGGCCTCATGTGAGCCAAGAGTTTGCATGTAATGTGGGCGGTTCTTGGCTTAGTGTGTACAGAGGGCAATGCTTGCTCTGCTGCATGATAACAAGCCTTCATCCCTGCAGGAACGGCAGTGTTTCCAGGCTGAGGGATTAACGCAGAGATGGGAGACAAGAAAGCGGTTTTGTTCAACTTCTGGGGGGTGGTTGTTCCCTCAAGAGCAGCTGTAGTTTTCCAGAAACTGGAGGAGCAACACAAACTTCCACGGTGAGAGGAACCTGTTACACGAGATCTGACTGGAAAACAGGAGCCCTAAAATTCAGGCTCTGCTCCAGCTGACATAAAAACTCTGAGGATCTATGATCTATTTCTACACATCGGTGAATGTTGTATAGAAATAATTTATAGCGCTGAAATTATAATTAATTAACCTGTAATCTTTAGTTGAATTAGATGTTTTAAAGTGTAAATTCCTCATAACCAGAATGTATGAAGACATAATCCAGAGCTGGATCACTTTACCGCTTTTAGCAACACTGTTAGAAAAGAGAATTTATTAACATTTCAATCAAAATGAATGTTTATTCACTTTATAAATCTGTTTATTTAACATAATTCAGTAGATTATAGTGAGATGATGCAGGCTGGGAGGAAAGATCAAAGGATTTGCTTTTGATTTGGACTTTTTGATTATTTCCAAATAGAAAATGAAAACATTTACGAGAATCAGCTTTATAAATTTTAAAGTGATTTTCATAAATAATGCATTTATAAAAAGCACGGTTAACATCCTGATGGTAAATAGCCAAACCTCCCATAAGGAGATTTACCATTAGGCAATACGAAGCAGTTGCCTAGGGCCCCAAGTTCCTGGGGGCCCCATAAAACTGTTTACATGTATGGTTGATATAACAATTATTTGTTCAAAAAGGTTCAGTGTTGCCAACTTAGCGCTTTAGTCGCTATATTTAGCCACTTTTCAGACCCCTCTAGCACTTTGATTTCTAAAAAGCTCCTAGCGCCAAATC